TGTGATCCCAGCACTCAGGAGGCTGAGGCAGGAGGATCGCCAGGGCTTTGAGTAAGCCTGGGTAACGAGACAGGAAGGAGTCAGCAGCAGAAAAGCCCGTTGGCTCTGTCTCACCCGGGATCTCCCGACGTTGCAGTCCTAGGACCGTGCCTGGCAGTTAGTAAACTGGAAGTCTGAGAAATGAGCTCTGTCCCCAGGTTCTCATGGTGCTCCCACCCAAGGGCTATGGAAGTGCTGGCCTCCGGGTGGTGCCCCAAATTGCAGAGAGCCCCAAAGATCAGGTTTCGGAGCGGACAGGGCCTCGGCTCCCGGGCGCGGAGGCGGACGAGTCTGAAGGTCAGGGCGGGAGGGGCGGGCGGGCGGCTGTGCTGGGCCCGGCGCCGGCCTCCCGCTGCCTGCTGCCCACAGCCGAAGGACTGAGCCCGGTGGGAGCCGTGGCCTCTCCGGGAAGAAGGAGGCGAGGTCCGTGCCGGGTTAGCTCCCGTCCGTGTGCGGCCGCCTCGGACAGCGGCGCCCTTCCAAGGCTCCCGGGCTTCACACCGGGCGCGTGGCCTCGAAACGCTCACCGGCTTCCCACGCTATGTGAATGAAGGAGCGCTCTGATTGGCTGTGCCCGCATGCAAATGAAGGTTTGCGAAGAGCTTCTTCTGATTGGTCCAGTGAACAGCACCAGATTCAAATGAGGGAATCGAAGATAGCAAGATTCGGATTGGTCGGAAGGCACCTTTCTGACTGGCTCTGCGCACTGGGTGAGGGCGTCAGTGCGGGGAGGGCCCCTCAGCCCGCGTCCCGTGTAGGTCTGGTTTGGTTCGCGCAGCCTTCACCTGGGATTTTGCTTCCTTCCTTTCAGTCACTCGTGGTCAGCCAGCGAAGGTCTGGAAATGTAAGTGGAACCTTCTAGAAACAGTGCGCGCCCCACCCCGCCCCGCCCAGCCTGTCCTCCCCTCCCTGCCTGGGATCGCCCTCCGGGAGTCGCTCAGCAGCCCCCCCGCCCCCGCCCCCGCCCGCGCCTGCATAGCTTAGCAGATGACTCTGTAACGACTCCAGGGCACAGGTGCGGCTGGTTGCCCACCTTGCCCCACCGTGCTTTCTTTCAGAGGAAAGGTGAAAGTCCTCCACTTGATTTTTTGTTGAGCCAGGATCTTGCTGTAGTTCAGGCTGATCTTGAACTCACCATGGAGGCCAGCCTGGCCGTGAATTCACAGCGATCCTCCTGCCTCAGCCTCCTGATGCTGGCCAAGGCCTTGTGACACCACACCCTGCTGAGCTCTTGGTTTTATACAGACAGAGAGGCCTGTGTGCTGAGGCTGCCAAGATCACCAGCTAGAGCAGATCCCGGAGTAGAGGGCCCGCTTCGCTCCCGAGGGGAGGTGTGCCTGTCCAGTGTCCCCCCCACCCGGGGAAGGCAAGGCAGCGGCCTGGGCTCGGAGTCTGACTCAGCCCTGTCTCATGCTTTCTGGGCCACTGGCTGGATGAGCCCATCTCATCTCCTGGTCACAGGGGACCCGACCCATTGAACAAGTGAGCTCAGGCGGCCCACTAGGGCCATCCAGCGGCTCACGGGAGGCTGGCACAGGGTGATGTCAGGCAGGTAGCTGCCCTCAGGCTGGGGCCAGCGGCCGAGCCCTTGCCTCTCTGGCAGTGACAGGAGCGGTAGCAGCAGAGGCAGAGAATAAATAAGTGACTGTTGCGGGGCATCCTTGAGGGCTCTGCTTCCTCACCCTGCCTGTGGGCCTGGAAAACCCTTTCTCCTGCCTGTAAGGGGCACCTCAAAGTGAAAGTTTAAAATTGTGTTTTTTTTCTTTAGAGACCAGCGGTTTCTTCAGAGGTCCTTAGGCCTAGAGCATGCGAGGGAGGGAGAGGTTGGCTGGGAGGATGGAGGGCGGGAGGGCCCGGGCTCAGGGCCTTGGGGTTGGAGACCCAGCAGGCAGATGGGGTCTGAGGTGACCGTCACATCTCCTGGGATCGAGCTGAGTGCAAGCCCTTTTCCCTCTCACCAAGACAAACGGCCTCCTTTGATTTGGTCAGATGTGAGGAAATCAACCTGAGTGTGAGCCTGTGTGGCTGCGGCACCCCATTGTTGGAGTGGAACCCGCTAGCTGGGCTGTCCTCGCTGGCTCCTCGTCACCATCAGCAGCGGTGGCAGAAGAGTGTGGACGCCCGATCCTCTCCGCTCTGGCTGTGCTGAGGCCGGGATTTACCAGGAGGCAGGAGCAGGGAGCAGCTCTGAGAATTCCTGTCAGTGCTCTCGGTCCACAGAGCTAGGGGGTGCAGTGCGATCTCCAGGCCCAGCACCAGCCCATCCTTGGCTGCATCTGCCCCAGGGAAGAAACAGTGGGGAGCCAGAGGCGAATGAAGCTGCCCGGATGCCCAGCCTCTGGGAACTTAGCCCAGGAGAGAAGTGTGTGCTTGGGTATCGGGACTCTATTTTCTTTTTCTTTTTTTTTTGGTACTGGGGATCGAACTCGGGTCCTTCTGCTTGCAAGGCAGGTGGCAGAACCACTGAGCGAAATCTCCGCCCTCGGGACTCTAAAGTGGTCTGTAGTTTACAGTTAGAGAACAACGAGGCAGATAATCAGAGAGTTCTTGTGCATCCACACTGGCTTCCATGTGGGGCAGTTTGGCTCTTGCAGGTGGCCCCCACCCTGGGCGCCATGTTGGGACCCTGAAGAGGGGTCCCCAGGAAAGGGTGCTGGGTCACTGGGGGTCCCCCGGACGGGCTCTCAGGACTCTAGCCCAGGCTGTCCCCTTCTGTTACTTGGTCACCAGAGGCCTGCAGCTTCCTCAGGGTGTGCAGTGCCCCAGGGCCAGGGCAGTGGGCTGGGCCACCAGGGCCTACAGGCTGAGAAGCTGTGAGCTGAAGCAGACCTGCACTCCTCGGGCTGGCTCTCCAGAGGGTCTGTCAGGGTGCAGAGTGGACGCACACCTCGGTATTCCCGTCTTCTCACAGCGTGGCTCCCTCCATAAGCTAACACTGACGGCCAACGCTGACGGCCATGATCGCTATGAGCAGAAGCCCGAGAATTCAGGTTTCCTTAGCTTTGGGCCTTTTTGGTGTCTTATCAGGGCCACTTAGTGGCCGCTGAGACCCATGGCCCAGGACGTGTCTCACCCTTCCCGTTTTCCTTGCCTGTGAGTCTGAGGAGCACTCTCCAGGGACAGAGGAGCTTACCCCGCCACTGGCGGGGATTTGTCTGACAGCCGTCAGGTTGGTCGCTGGGTGCTGGCCAGCCACCTGGCTGGGTCGTTTGTCAGCAGCTTTCTTCCCGCGGAAGTCGCTCCTTTTCCTGGGTTTCTGCAATGAGGCCTGGGTGAGGGGAATGAAGGTCTGTGTGTAAGCAGCAGGGAGGCAGAGCCCGCTGCGCTGGTGTGCACCTGGTGTGGTATCGGCCTGCGTGGGTGACGTATCTTCTTCCCTACTCACTGACCCGATAACTCACCGCATGGGTGCGGACCTAGGGTCTTGTGCAGTCCAGGACGGGTGACGGTCCAAGCCTCTGGCCGTGCTCGCCTTGCCCCCGCTCCCAGGCAGCCCTGTGTGAACTGGGAGTGTCCTTCCCGCCGCACGCTCGCAGCCCTCGCCCTACTCCTAGCAGGAGCCAGTTGTCCAAGGGGCCCTGGTTCTTTCCCCTAGAAATAGTTTTGGAGCCCATTTTGGCGTTTCTAAATGTTGCACCATTAGGAGCTTGGGATCTGGGGTTGGTATTAGGTTGAGGCTCCTCCCGCAAAGCGGAGGGGAACCAGACACCTTGGCTGGAGGAGTGACCAGCAGGTGTGTTAGCAGCGCCCGGCAGGCAGCATTAAGGAGGAAGGCGGACAGGGCGGGGGCTGGGGCTGAGGGCTCAGCAGCGGGGGGCTCAGGGCCCTGAGTTGCTGGCTGGGCGGCAGCAGTCCTGCCTAGTGGCTGTGTGTGTGCATGTGCGTGTGTGCAGGGAGTTGGGCTAAGGAGGGACACAACTGCAGACGACTCTCTTGGAGCAGGGCCAGGCTGAGACACCCACTCAGGGTTGTGGGGAGGAAGGCAGGGGAGCAGGGATAAGGTCCCCCATCCTCCTGGGACCCAGCCTCAGGGCTGGCTGGGGAGCAGGAAGTGGCCTCCACAGAGGCCTTTGTCCCTGGGCCCCAGGGGTCGCAGACTTCAGCCCTTGAGGGTTTGTTGAGTGGCTGGGGCCAGAGAAGGCCCCTTTACCCTCGTCCCAGTCGGTGGTGATGTTGCAGAGGTCTCCTGATCCGAACAGGCACCTTACAGATAAGAGGATCACCAGTCCTGGCTGAGAAAATAACTTTTTTTTTTTTTGTATTAAATTCTTTTATTGGTACATTGTAGGTATACAACACAATTACATTTCTCATTGGGAATTGTACCTTTATATAATGCATCTTGGTTCTTATTTTTTCCCCATTAAGAAAATAACTATTGATGTCAATGAGCGGGGCACTGACTTTTGGAAAAATTAGGCATTAAGTGGAATTCTAAAGCGAAGCGCAACATACGAAGAGTGAGCTCTTCGGTAAATGATTATTATTTTTTGCGGTAGTGAGGATTGAACCTCCGCACTGAGCTACATCCTGGCCTTTATTTTTTATTTTGAGACAAGGTCTCAGTAAGTTGCTAAACTGCCCAGGGCAGGGTCTAACTTGCGGTCCTTCTGCCTCAGCCTCCCAGAGGTCAGGGCTTGCAGGCACGGACCAGGATGCCCAGCCTAATTCTTTTTGAAAACATTTAAAAAACTTGGCCGGGCTTACGGAAGAAGAGCTGGCAGAGAAGGGGTGCAGCTCACCGTCCCCCAAGGAGCCAGAACATCCGGCTCCCTCCACCCGCCGGCGCTCGGGATGCGCAGCGACCCTGTGCGCATGCTCAGCGCGTGAGGCGATCTGGGCGACCGCGCCCAGGTTCTCGACAGCTTCCCAGGCCCCGCCCCTTCCTCCGCACAGAGGCGGAGCGTAGGGCGCGCTACGTGGGCGGGGCGAGGAAGCCCCGCCCCCGTCTCGACCCGAACGCACTGCGTCTGCGCCCCGCCGTGCGGCTCGGACGGGGCGGCGAGCACCCGCTCGTGCGCGCGCCTGGCCGCCTGCGGAGGAGGCTCCGCCCGGTCCCGTCCGGCCCTCCTGGTCCATCCGATTCCACGCCGCCCCCGCTGCCGCGCCATGGAGCTGCCCCGGAGCCTGTGCAAGAAGGCGAAGCTGGGCCACGGCGCGCAGAACTGGGTGAGGGGCCAGCCCAGGCGGCTCCGGCTCCTGGGGGCTGCAGTCAGTCAGGCCCCCTTCTCGGGGCCGGAAGGGAGGAGCCCGGGCCTGGGCGCCCATCCCCATCCCCAGCCCTTTCTTTTAATTTATTTTGTGACAGGGCCCTGCTAAGCTGCCCAGGTTGGGCTCACTTGCGATCCTCCTGCCTCATCCTCCCAGAGTGCTGGGATGACAGGCGTGCACCATTTTGCACGTTTTGCACGCCTGGCAAAATCCTTAGTTTTATTTTACTTCTCTATTTCTGTTTTTGTGATGCTGGGGGTGGAACCCAGGACTTCTCACGTGCAGGGCAAGTGCTCTCCTCTGGTTTTCCAGGCTGGGTTTCCGGTGACAGTCAGGGGTGGGCAGCAGCTCGCCTTTTTCAGTTAGCAGCCGCGCTGTGTCCACAGAGCTCGCTCCCTTCCCTAGCAGGCTGGGGTGGCTGCGGAGGCTGCAGAGGCCCTGGCTCCAGTGGGATGGAAATTCGCTGCCGCAGCCCACAGGAACCCTGAAGCTTAAACCGGCCGTGCAGTTCGGCCCTGCCTGCCAGTGAGGAAAGAAAAGAAAGCAGCTATTTCGGGCAGATGCTGTGTGGCAACCACTTGGGTTCCTGTCTGTGGCTGTGATCTGGTCCCCGCGGCGCCCTCTCTCCTGTTGGCTCCTGTGCTCCGAGGAGGGTGGCGGGCTCGGGGACAGGTGGGTTAGGACGCCGGAAGGAGCTTTTCCCTTCTCAGGCTGTGCCAGCCCGAGCCCGGTCACCAGGCAGACCCAGCGCTGCTCGGGTTACTCTGGGACACTGGCTGGTTAGGGCACTCGGTTGACTGGATCTGGCATTTACAGGTCACTTTGCTCGACTGATCCTAACTCACATATCTGTGAGTCCATTTTCGGGGCTGGTGTGCGTTCTGTGGACACCTGAGCTGGAGTCACGGAAGTCGTGGGCCTGGGTGCCAGGCTGGGGTGGGGACAGGAGCCAGGTGATGCGTGTCCCTGGGTCGCAGTGACTGCTGTAGGACAGGAGTTTACTGCAGGTCAGAGGAAGGGTTAGCTCGGCCTGGGTGCTTGGAGGCGCTGAGAGTTTTGGGGTGCAGGGGTGAGCCTCGTGAGTGCTGGAGGGGGTACCTGGGTGCAGGCGGGTGTAGGGCTGGGTATGCAGGTGTGATGTTTGGCTGCAGTCAGGACTTGATTCTGGGGAAGGTGGGGTTAGAATTCTGAATTTTCTGAGCCCTGTACATTTTTCCTCTCCTGCTACCTCTCAGGTACCTAAAGCATCTGAGCAGGGGCCAGGAGGGTCTGAGGAGGGAGCGCCTAGGGCTGTGAGCATCTGGGGAGCAGGTGAGGGGTGGCTGGGGGCCGGACCAAGGGCGCTCAGACCTGCCTGGAGTCACAGGCCAGTGCGCCTCAAAGATGACCGTGGGGCTCTGGTTCTGGCAGCGGGAGAAAGGCTGGGAGGTTTCACTGTTCACCATGGCATTTCTGCGGCATTTCAGATGGGGGGTCGGTGGGTGAAGCAGGGACCCGGGAAGTGACTGATGGGGAACCGGGCCCCATAGTTGGTGACCCTGTGACCTTTTGCTGTCACCGCACTTCTCTGTGCCTCACCTGGACATTTGTAACCCCACCGCCTGGCCGGGACTCGAAGATGAAAGGAGCCAGGCCTGGCGATGCTGTGATCGGCCCCTATCACTTTTACTCTCCATTGGGTTGATGGAAATGCCACACAGCTTGTTATTGGCAGAGCAAGTTGTAAGCTTGTTGCATTTTTTTTTTTTTTTGGTGCCGGGGATCGAACTTGGGACCTTGCTCTTGCGAGGCAGTCGCTGGAACCACGGAGCTAAATCCCCGGCCCAACTTGTTGCATTTTTAAAAAATGTTATTTGTATCGTCCACATTTGCAGTACGTAACGGTTACGTTCCTCACGGGGAGTTGGTCCATGTCCATACACATCTAAATTCCTTCTCTGTCCCCTTCTGTCCCTGTCTTGGTCCCCTCTCATGTGCAGGAGGTCTCTCTCGTGGGTCCCTATTACCTGCCTTTCATTTGCTCTTGAGTTATTTATAAGCTTGTTGGATTTGAGGGGCAGCCTTCTAAGTGCGTCTGCAGACCAGCGCTGTCCAATCAATGGAAATGAGCCACGTATGTAACTCAGCATTTTCTTGGGGCCACATTAAAAAAGTAAAAAGAAGAAACAGGTGAAATAAATTTCAATAGTATTTTATGTCGCTTAATCTGTCCAAAATGCTACCATTTCAGTGCAAATGCTTTTTCAATGTAAATATAAGCTCAGTACCATTTGTAATCTATAAAATTGTCAATCAGATAGCCCTTCTTTGGCCTTCCACATCAGGGGTGTGTTTCACACTTCACACACATCTTCGCTTGGCTGCTCGGGACGGACACGCGGACACCGCAGTGACAGACATGGAGTTGGGGTGCGGCCAGAAGTAGAGGTCTGATGGCTGCTGCGGGCAAAATGCTGGGCTTTGGGTGACATCTCCTGTGGGAGCAAGTACTGGAAGTGGATTCACAGGTGCCCACAGGTGGGAGCAGAGGGTAGTGTTAGGGTGCGGGACTTTTCAGCCACTCAGGAAGATTCCTCTCGGGGCCTGCAAGGGCAGTGCAGGTCCATGCTCCACTGCACCCCCCCCCCCCAAGTGCTGTCCTCTGAGTGCATCTCACTCACTCAGTGGGGCAGTTTCCACTGTGGGCTGCAGAGCAGGCGTTGACCCAGTTTGTGGTGAATCCTGTTCTGCCAGGTCCCCGCTTGGACTCCTGCTTGGGGAGGGGGAGGGGGACCGGTGTGAGCCTCAGCGTCACTCCGGCTGGGTCTCCCAGGAGCGCCATTCCTCCTCTCACCCTACTCGCCCTCGGGGCTGAGTCCTGCAGCTCCCGGGCTGTCTCCTTAGCTGTGGTCCACCCCTGTGCCCACACCCACTGCTCACAGGCTGCGTTTCTGTGTCACACTGCCAGCTGCGCGGCCCCTGCCGTCACGTGATTATACTTGCACTTCATTGCAGTGTTGTGTTTCTGCCCGGAGCTGATACGTGGATGGGTTTGAGAGAGGGTGTGGAGTAGGCTGGGTGCCTTGATACTGAGGATCCCAGGTAATTTACTAATGCCTTGGCGCAGCTTAGCTTGCACGGCGGCAGCTTACAGTTTGTCACACCGTGCGGGTGACCTGGGGCGTGTCCCCATCACCCCTGTATGCTTTGGTGCCCTCACCTGTGTATTAATGGGCGTCCCTGGAGCAGCCTCCTGGCGGGGCAGACTGCGTGCCTCCCAGGGTTATAGGGAGGTTAATCGGTTAAAAGCTCTGGTTCCAGGGCTGGGGATTTAGCTCAGTGGTTCCACCGCCTGCCTTGCAAACGCAAGGTCCTGAGTTCAATCCCCGATACCAAAAAAAAAAAAAAAGCTCTGGTTCCCTCCACCAGTTCTGCCTTTCCTAAACAACTTGTCCCCTATGCCCATGATGGCGAACCTGTTAGAGCTTTCAGTGATACAGACAGCCCGCTGTGGCACGCATGCCATGCCGTGTGTTTGCCACCACTGTCTCACACTGCAGGCTGCTCTTCCTGGAAGTCAGAGGCCCATTCCAGGTTTGGGGAGGACTAGGGTGGGGCGAGACCAAAGCAGCATGGCAGAGCTGGCTCCAGGCGCCTGGGAGATCATGACCCTGAGGACGTTGCCCCGAGAAGCGAAAGTGGAAATTCCACCCGCAAGGTGCTTCTGGTGCAGACAGTGCTGTGGTTTGCCAGGTGTCCCGAGGCCTGTGTGTTACGGGCTGGGTCACCAGCTGTGGGACTCGGGAAATGTGGACCCTGACAAGGAGGGAGGAGAGGGAGGAGTGTGGTCCGATACTGGGACACTGGGCTCTTCCTGTCTCTGCATCGTGGCTGCTATGATGTGAGCAGTGTGCCCTGAGATGTCATCCTGGCTCCGAAGTTCTGCCTTGCTCAGGCCCAAGGGCACGGAGACCAAGCTGCCATGGACTGCAACCTCTGAGCCCATGAGCCACGCTTTAAACCTTTCAGCTTTGTAAGTTGGTCATGGCAGGCATTTTGTTACAGTAACAGAAAGTGATGAACATGGCCCACAAGAAGGTCCTAGCAAGGCCCAGATCACTGTTGTCCAGGATGGTGGCCACTAGCCACACACAGCAGCGTTTTGGTTACAATTTAACCACCTCAGGCTCCCATTTCTTATGTTGCATTGACCACACTTCAAGTGCTTCCTGTGTGGTTAGTGACTCCCAGATTGGACTGCAGTATAGAGCGTTTCCTCACCTTACCATGTTCTGCTGGGCAGCATAGGCCTCCATGTAGCTTTTGGGGGGCTGCTGGTTTTTTGTACTTACCTGTGTATTTATATATTTGTGTATTTTGCTGTCTTCCCAGGCCTCAGTTTTGGGCAGGTTGTCAGCCTCACAGTGCCTGCCCCTTCCCCTTTAAACTTTTTTTTTGTTTGTTTTTTTGAGATCGGATCTTGCTGTGTTGTTCAAGCTGGCCTCAAACTTCTGGTGATTGTCCTGCCTCAGCCTCTCAAAGTGTTGGGATTACAGATGCATGACCACACCTGGCTTCAGCCACCCTTTAGTGTAGTTGCTGCGTTAAATTTGCTGTGGTTCTAAGCTTCCCTGCCTGGCTCTGTTTACGGAGTTACAGGAGTGGCTCTCCACTCAGGTGAGGTTTGGCGCTGTCGGGAGTGGCTGGGAATTCTGGAGACATTTTGGTGGCCACACCTGCGTTAGGCGGTGATCTGGCATCTCGTGCGTGGAGACCAGGGCATTGCCAAGCACCCTGCGATTCAGGAGACAGCTCCCACACCAGCAGTTATTTTGTCCAAACAGTCATGAATGCTGAAGTTTAAAAATCTCTGTTCTCCTCTTTGCTTTAAGTAAGAAAAAAGGGGAAGAAAAGATTTTTTAAGAACTTAATTCTGAAATGCAAAACTAGTAACCGAAAATAAAATCCGTCGACAGAGC